GTATATATAAATATATTTATATATTTTTTAAAAAATCTGAATCCTGTACAGGGCGTTCGTCGATTTTAAACGAAAGTTTGCCATTAAGTTACCAACCAGTCGTTTGAAAATTTCTTTATTTGAATAACATTTGAATACACATATCATTAAGTGATAAGCCAACATTTACATTTCTATTGTCTGTCTGTAACTCTGTAAAATACCTTTTAGCAAGTAATTAACAAAGTGTAAAAATATGTATCACGTCGTTTACGAACGAATACATTTGACAAAGGCCGTTCTAGATAGAAACGATTGTACTAAATTACTTTTAAATCAAGTTAATTGAGTCAATTAACCGGTTAATGGCATAACGTCCACTACTTATCTGCATGTTTGCGGTTTTGTAATTCGACATAAAAAGTTAATTTAAACGAAATTTGAAATCTGCTTTGTAAGCCTGAAAGCAGTTTTAAAACGTTACGGCGCTTTGCAATTTCTTTTTGATTTTCTGCGAATAAAATTTTTTCGTATGGTCCAGAAATAGTTTTTGAATGTTTTTGTTGAATGACCTTGGAGAGAATGCGTGACGTCACTACATTAAGCACATAGCACACGTTGCGAACGCTGCAATTGATGAAAGTTGTTCACTGTTAGCGGAATTATCGATAAACAGATAAATCTATACGTAATGTTCAGAAAAATTAAATGGTCAATAAGAAAAGTCGTTCACATGTGCTTCTTAGGGTTGTCGTATTTGTTTGCTAGGGCCTCGTCGGGACGTTGTAGAACAAAATGCATAAAAATACTCAATTTTATGATAAATACTATTATTCTTTATTTTAGAATAAAACTACTTGGATGACTATGCTTTTCAGAAGATTGTAAGCTTTTCAATAATTGTTCGTACCCTTTAACATATGTGTAATTCATGTTATAATTAATTTGATACTGTAAAATCGTCTGGGACAGGCGATTTCATTCGTCAGTCCTCTGGGCTGACATTCGACATTAACGAAAAGCTCTATCTACTGAGACATTGTGGACAGGGATTACAAACAAATAGTAGCATAATTTAAAGAGTTGGGATTTTCTTTTAGAATTTTCATTTGCTTTAAAAACGTAAGAAGTTGTTTTATAAAATGCTATTACCCTGTCTCCTCTTCAAATTTTGAAATTAAAATCGCTGCTTCAGGTGTAGGATTTTCATTTCTAATTTTCTTTATTTCCATCTCGATTTGCAAGTCAATATATTTGGCAGATTTTATTTGCATTGCAGTTTTAATAAGATCGTTTAAGTGTGTTGTTGGGACAGACAGCTCAATAAAGGAGACGGTTGCAATACAGCAGGATGGATCGTAATACTATGATTTATAGCAGGACCGTAGATGAGAACAATTGTAGGCATTTTTGGGCGTTTCGTAGGCGTATATGAAATTTACTTTTTTGCACTTTTAGCATAATTGTAACATATGTACAAAAATAAATATGCCTTTTCGATAAACAAGACAATTGTGACGTCACGTTACTAAAAGGCCATCCTGAGCGGTTCGAGAATTTATAGATTTCCAAAGTAATTTTTAACGAAAAGTTGATGGGAAAATTATTTTTTTGCAGCGATATACGATTCTTTTCAGAGATTAATATGTATGTAATGAAAAAAAAAAACACTGATTTTTGATATCATGCCCATGTATCAGCAGCGCTATTAAGCAAACAAATTTCAGAAGAAAATGCTCTTGCACGTTTGTAGTAGGTACCTACAGGTATATATTGAACTTATTTTTCCACTTTGGACTTTCGGACTTTGATTTCAATCTCGTAAACACAGATTTATTTTTAATATCCAAACCGGTTTCGTATTTTAGCAATTTCCTGGCGCTGTACCATTTAAAAGTAAAATGAACGCAATTTTTTCAGTCCAACCAAACTTATGATTCCTTGCAATCAATTAAATTACATATTATTATTAATCTTCGAAAATTAAGAAAGAAAAAATATTTTTTCAATAAATTCGAAGTATCAGGAATATTATGTATTCTTTAACATGTTTTATTTCTATTTTGGACGAAGAATGCCTTGTTGATATGAATGTTAGGTGGGAATGTAAATGACGTGTAATTTACATATATGAAAGAAATAGTACTTATGTTATATAATTGAAATTCATACGAAATGCATAACTTACCTTATCCTTAAATTTTCTTATCGTTGGTTTCACATTAGGCTCAATTTCATTCGTTCCTTTGATATCGTTGAGTGTGCAGACAGCAAATAGTAATGTTTGTAACAACTGTAACAAAAACAACAATATAGTATTTACACTCTTGTTATGTTTATGTCAAATGCAGGGTTGGCTTTATTCTACTTTTAATATACGTTACTTTTATTAGATACCGACTAATTTCTGGAAAATATGAAATTAATAACAAGTAGGTCTTCATCAAAATGAATTGGTAGATTAGATATGAGAAATAAAGATTATGAAGTTCCCATCTTAGATGTTGGATTGGCGACTCTTCCTACGGAAGTTGAAGATTGTTATGACAATCCACATTCAGCATCCAAGATGGAAGGACTTCTTTAAAAGTTCGCCACTCGAAACGTTAGGATTCAACAATAAAAAAAAAAAACTATTGGATGTTTCATTCCTATCAGCCAATAATGCTGGTGGGCGGGCAGTCCCTCCGAACTACGCCGGAAGGTAGAGCGGAAGACTCCCTTCAGCCTCCTTTCAGGAATTGTGGGAATGGGTGGCTGGTAGTTCAGGTGAGAAAGATGAGACGGACGAAATGAAGACTGAAGAGAATGAAAGATTATCTGTGGAATATTACTGCCCCAGCATTTGTCGAAGTCATCCACGGAAACCACAGAAAAATTCGAACCTTGGACCCGGATTCGAAGCAGTGTTCTTCCGAATGTTAACCGGCAGGAAGCAACTACAACCGACGACGCCTTTATAGAACCGAATCAGAACAGCAACAGTCCACCAATTGGCGAAAGCCTTTACCAAGTTGTCAAAGATTGAACTAAAGTTCGGACAGTAGAACAGACATAATGATAAGAGAGATCGAAATCGAATAATAGTAAGGTAACAGTGGTTAGAGGTTGTTTAGGTACGCAAAAGATCAGGGTCGGCTTTATAACTGCCGGTTTAAGATTATATCTTTAAATAAGAGTCTTTATTTTCTTAAATTCCTAAGAAACTTTCTTTAAAGTCCGATACTGCTTGTCTGCATCTCTTGCTGATCATCATCATCATAAGGTCGTCAGTCCTAAGACTGGTTGGACACGTACCTCCACTCTTTCCTATCCTGAGCTAAACTTCGCATTTCCCTAAAATTAGAACAGCCCACTTCCTTAACTACTTGCGAACAGTAATCTAATCTAGGTCTACCTCTATCCCTCTTGACTCCTGTTTATGCCTCTAATATGTCTCTGACTAGACCTAGAAGATGTCCTACCAATCTATCTCGCCTATTTTTATTGAATTCCATAGAATACCTCTTCATTTCTAACCTTCTCTACCCACGTTATCCTCATCATCCGCCTATAACACCACATTTCGAACGCTTCTAACCTTTTCTTTTCCGCCGCGCCCACTGTCCTTGTTTCGCACCCGTACAACACTCTAAACATACACCTTTAGCAATCTTTTTCGAATTTTTAAATTAACCGTTCGCGAGCATAGAAGTGACTTCTTTTTATTGAAGGCGACACGACCCTGCGCTATCCTCTGCTTTAGATCCCTACTACTCCTTCCATCCTGACTTCCTAGGTAATCCTAGGCATCTCTTTCTGTTACACATTAATTGGTGTAATGTTATTCCTTTTTTTTTATTAGTGTCCGCTGCAATTTCCACCTGACATCTCCTTTCTATGTTTATTATATTCCCTACAACGCCTGTCGTGTGTAAAAGTAGGCGTTCTCACAGTAACTGCTCTAGTCTAATTAATATGTTGAAAGAATAATGTAAATGCTACAGTTTTATTACGGACTATGGCAATGTTGAACGTTCCAACTATATTTCAGAAATAATACTAATTTTAGCTAATTTTTCGGATGTAGGGTATCTATGTACACTTCAAATACATATCCAGAAATTTGGGTCAACAATTACACACAACATTAACAAAATAATTTTCTAGACAGTTCTGCACGCGATTCTTACGGGAAATAATATTAAAAATTGTTTGAAATGCAGGACGTCCGGGAAATTCTGGACAATTAGGCAATAACCTAATAACCCATATGTAGAAGTGGTTTTACTAAATATCTATGCTTATTGTAATAAAAATTAATAAAACAATGAGGAAACAAGCAAAATCTAAAACGATTACCAAAAATTAAACTGTAGTACCTAGATCCCTAGCACCGCCTTCAAAAAAATTAGCCCTAAAGAACATTTGACGACTATTGAGAAAATGATCTTTGCTTTACTTAAACAATAACACCAGCATAGAAAGTGTCAGATTACTTTATCTCATCATCAAGTCGATATAATGCAATACATTTTAGGATGGTGCTGTTCCATTTTTTCAATTTTGATTGTTTTTATGTCGCTTTTGGGCATCTTCATTCTGTTAGCTACAAGCAGAAACAACCAAAATCGATAAAATGAAACGAAAAAACAACTGGACATCATCAAGAGCAATGAATTTGGACGTAGCATATCACATAATGTCAACATGTTATGCCTTTATTGTTAGCCAAAAAATACTGCTAAAGACAATATTGTTCGTAATTGTTTTTGCTTGTATGTTTTTACCAAAACCTTTTATTAATAATAAATCAGTTAACTGGAGACGTGATCAATTATGACCTTAACGGAACAACATAAAAAAATATGCTGAAAATATAAAATGCCAAGTTGCAGTACAACTGTCGTTGAGAAATTGTTAGATAAGTAGTTTTCTTTTTTGCTTTCGAATTTTGTCGTAACATGTGCTAGTTGGAATTCAACCCCTATCTACTAGAGGTCATAGTTATCATACATTATTTAAAAGTACCTATTCTCAAGGTGTGGCATATTAATTTTGAACAATAATTAGTTTTCCAAAAAATACTCCCACAGACACTCCTTTTTTAATATCCATAACTTACTTAGATACTTACTGTACATAATTTGATAATCGGTAATAATAAATTCCTGATGGTAAATTTATTTGGGGAACGTATTCATAATTTGTAATTTGTACTAACAATTTTAAGAAAAAGTTTTTATATTCATTGCACATGAACAATANCAACTGTAACAAAAACAACAATATAGTATTTACACTCTTGTTATGTTTATGTCAAATGCAGGGTTGGCTTTATTCTACTTTTAATATACGTTACTTTTATTAGATACCGACTAATTTCTGGAAAATATGAAATTAATAACAAGTAGGTCTTCATCAAAATGAATTGGTAGATTAGATATGAGAAATAAAGATTATGAAGTTCCCATCTTAGATGTTGGATTGGCGACTCTTCCTACGGAAGTTGAAGATTGTTATGACAATCCACATTCAGCATCCAAGATGGAAGGACTTCTTTAAAAGTTCGCCACTCGAAACGTTAGGATTCAACAATAAAAAAAAAAAACTATTGGATGTTTCATTCCTATCAGCCAATAATGCTGGTGGGCGGGCAGTCCCTCCGAACTACGCCGGAAGGTAGAGCGGAAGACTCCCTTCAGCCTCCTTTCAGGAATTGTGGGAATGGGTGGCTGGTAGTTCAGGTGAGAAAGATGAGACGGACGAAATGAAGACTGAAGAGAATGAAAGATTATCTGTGGAATATTACTGCCCCAGCATTTGTCGAAGTCATCCACGGAAACCACAGAAAAATTCGAACCTTGGACCCGGATTCGAAGCAGTGTTCTTCCGAATGTTAACCGGCAGGAAGCAACTACAACCGACGACGCCTTTATAGAACCGAATCAGAACAGCAACAGTCCACCAATTGGCGAAAGCCTTTACCAAGTTGTCAAAGATTGAACTAAAGTTCGGACAGTAGAACAGACATAATGATAAGAGAGATCGAAATCGAATAATAGTAAGGTAACAGTGGTTAGAGGTTGTTTAGGTACGCAAAAGATCAGGGTCGGCTTTATAACTGCCGGTTTAAGATTATATCTTTAAATAAGAGTCTTTATTTTCTTAAATTCCTAAGAAACTTTCTTTAAAGTCCGATACTGCTTGTCTGCATCTCTTGCTGATCATCATCATCATAAGGTCGTCAGTCCTAAGACTGGTTGGACACGTACCTCCACTCTTTCCTATCCTGAGCTAAACTTCGCATTTCCCTAAAATTAGAACAGCCCACTTCCTTAACTACTTGCGAACAGTAATCTAATCTAGGTCTACCTCTATCCCTCTTGACTCCTGTTTATGCCTCTAATATGTCTCTGACTAGACCTAGAAGATGTCCTACCAATCTATCTCGCCTATTTTTATTGAATTCCATAGAATACCTCTTCATTTCTAACCTTCTCTACCCACGTTATCCTCATCATCCGCCTATAACACCACATTTCGAACGCTTCTAACCTTTTCTTTTCCGCCGCGCCCACTGTCCTTGTTTCGCACCCGTACAACACTCTAAACATACACCTTTAGCAATCTTTTTCGAATTTTTAAATTAACCGTTCGCGAGCATAGAAGTGACTTCTTTTTATTGAAGGCGACACGACCCTGCGCTATCCTCTGCTTTAGATCCCTACTACTCCTTCCATCCTGACTTCCTAGGTAATCCTAGGCATCTCTTTCTGTTACACATTAATTGGTGTAATGTTATTCCTTTTTTTTTATTAGTGTCCGCTGCAATTTCCACCTGACATCTCCTTTCTATGTTTATTATATTCCCTACAACGCCTGTCGTGTGTAAAAGTAGGCGTTCTCACAGTAACTGCTCTAGTCTAATTAATATGTTGAAAGAATAATGTAAATGCTACAGTTTTATTACGGACTATGGCAATGTTGAACGTTCCAACTATATTTCAGAAATAATACTAATTTTAGCTAATTTTTCGGATGTAGGGTATCTATGTACACTTCAAATACATATCCAGAAATTTGGGTCAACAATTACACACAACATTAACAAAATAATTTTCTAGACAGTTCTGCACGCGATTCTTACGGGAAATAATATTAAAAATTGTTTGAAATGCAGGACGTCCGGGAAATTCTGGACAATTAGGCAATAACCTAATAACCCATATGTAGAAGTGGTTTTACTAAATATCTATGCTTATTGTAATAAAAATTAATAAAACAATGAGGAAACAAGCAAAATCTAAAACGATTACCAAAAATTAAACTGTAGTACCTAGATCCCTAGCACCGCCTTCAAAAAAATTAGCCCTAAAGAACATTTGACGACTATTGAGAAAATGATCTTTGCTTTACTTAAACAATAACACCAGCATAGAAAGTGTCAGATTACTTTATCTCATCATCAAGTCGATATAATGCAATACATTTTAGGATGGTGCTGTTCCATTTTTTCAATTTTGATTGTTTTTATGTCGCTTTTGGGCATCTTCATTCTGTTAGCTACAAGCAGAAACAACCAAAATCGATAAAATGAAACGAAAAAACAACTGGACATCATCAAGAGCAATGAATTTGGACGTAGCATATCACATAATGTCAACATGTTATGCCTTTATTGTTAGCCAAAAAATACTGCTAAAGACAATATTGTTCGTAATTGTTTTTGCTTGTATGTTTTTACCAAAACCTTTTATTAATAATAAATCAGTTAACTGGAGACGTGATCAATTATGACCTTAACGGAACAACATAAAAAAATATGCTGAAAATATAAAATGCCAAGTTGCAGTACAACTGTCGTTGAGAAATTGTTAGATAAGTAGTTTTCTTTTTTGCTTTCGAATTTTGTCGTAACATGTGCTAGTTGGAATTCAACCCCTATCTACTAGAGGTCATAGTTATCATACATTATTTAAAAGTACCTATTCTCAAGGTGTGGCATATTAATTTTGAACAATAATTAGTTTTCCAAAAAATACTCCCACAGACACTCCTTTTTTAATATCCATAACTTACTTAGATACTTACTGTACATAATTTGATAATCGGTAATAATAAATTCCTGATGGTAAATTTATTTGGGGAACGTATTCATAATTTGTAATTTGTACTAACAATTTTAAGAAAAAGTTTTTATATTCATTGCACATGAACAATATTACAAAATAATGATAGTAGTAATTTTAGATATAGACATTAATAAAGGAATAATTAATACGTTGAGAAAGGTTAGTGTTTCAAGGCTACTAAATCGTGAAACCGGATGTGAAAGTGGAAAATTCAGACTAACCGCATCCCAAAACGTCAAAAATTTGAGTTTTCCTCCGTACGCAGAGCCCATTGGATGAACTTGAACGGGCACATTGACAAACATCCAGTCATAAAAACATCCAAATCCAAAATGCACGAATGCTAAAAAATGCAGCACCGTTCGTACCGATGCCATTGTAACACTTATCACATTACAGTCTCGCTATACTGACGGACTATCATATAATCACAGCATAAAACACTTCACATTTTCCAAGTGAACTTTGGACAGACATCGATTCCGTGTAGGGGACCGCGTTTTATTTCTGTAATGGGAATATCTACACCATCTATTCTCGACTTGTTTTTACATACTTTGGCTATTGTACACCAGATAGCACTAATATTATACAATATACATGGTTCATAAATGGATTTACAAGATAATCCTTGAAGGATCAAGGATATTCTTCGAACTCCTAAATTAATTTGAGAATTTTCCGAGGTAGTTCGATTATTCACATAACCTCGCACTTATCTTAAATGATACTCAATTGGGATCATCAGACATATACACATATATATATATATATACAAACGCTTATCACTATTATGTATTTTATTTTGTATCCACGTAATTCCTGCCTGATAAGAATGTGATTATCACGAGTTACGATAGAACGAAAATGACGCTAAAAAGATAATGCCTTACCATGTTCCAAATCGTTAAATATATGAGTCTTCCCTTGAAAAATATCTGAGGGGTTACTTCTTTATCCCTTTTTATTTCCACGTACATCTGATCATACCAGAGGGCGTAAATATAGTTGCACAAGGCAACGAAGTGGAAAACACCTCTCAACATTAGAAAATTTGTAACTACTTGCAACTATCGAAGCTGTTCACGCTTGTAATAGTTATCGATCGGCCAATGCGCGATATTTACTTTAGAAATTTTCAGTTAACACGTTTTATATTGAGTTCGTGTGTAAAAAAATACTGCTTACTATTATCGAAAACCGCAAAATACAAATAGGTACTACTTATCGGCAGTGAACCTATTTTAATAGAGGAGAGTAGTATTATGTTATGTATCTCTCTACCGATGAGTACAGTATACAATACACAGTACACAATTATGAATTTAATGCATTAGGTTTTAGACATTTGGACCTTGACATCGCGTGACTCTTCTATCATTGGCTATATCATGATTAAAAGAAGATGCGTTTATTTCACAGTTCAGTGGCGTTTCTCGCGCCCGTTCCGGGAAATTTCAGGGCAGCGTTTTGGCTGCAAGTTTGAGAATTTTTTTATTTTGTATTTTATTTAAAATACTTTTCCAAACGTATTTTCTATTTGTAAAATGCAAAATACATTTTTGCCGTTAAAAGTGTTGTTAGTATCAGCGATCAAACATATAAAATGATCAATGAAAGTTGCTCACATTGGCTATTGAAGGTATTAGAACCTTAATAAGGAGACAAAAATACATTCCATGAATGCCTTCTAATTCTTTAACTGAAGAGAGACCAAAAAATTGTAAACGTGGAAATGGATAATCTATAATATTGGATCGATATTGTTATCTCGGTTCAGTTTCATGGTCCATGGAATTTCTAAATTGATATCAGCACCTGTCAAATCACCGCTTATCGTACCTTTAGGAAGGAACTACGAAATTCTATGAATTACGACAAAACAGCCCGCAAAACAATACTGAATTGATATACACCAGCTATGTCAAACTGAAAACTACGAGAGATTGTGGTGTGCTAATAAACCGTATAATCCAAAATTCTTAGAAAACGATTTGAAAAACTTCACTTATTAGATGAACAAAAGCTAAAGAACCTATGGATTCCATTTCTTTCCCTTATTACAATATGTAAAAGATCAGAAACAAAATGGGGTTGTAAGTATTTTGATATAAAATGATTGATGTTGATTTTACATCAATAAAATTATTTGCAACTCTATTTTGGTTCTGATCTTTCACTGTAAACAAACTATTTAGGCATCAGTGTCTTTTTTCCAATTAAAACGGGTGACAAAGGGTAAATAGGGAAGTATATAGAAGAATTATTTGTTCTAAAATTGAAGAAACTATAACATAAAGATATTATAAAAAAACTATATCTCAGTCACTTGGAAAATACGTATTTTGCATTTACTATTTAAAATACAAACGGGAAATCTATTTTGTATTTTACTTTTGAAATAACAAATCAAAAAAGCATTTGCATTTTGTATTTAAGTACTTTTAAAAAACTATTTTGCATATCTCTGTCCATTCCATCCATTTTGTTACTCAGTCAGAAAATAATTAATGTCTGGCGGCTCTGGGATTTTAGACTATTAATATCTGATAGTTTTTTTAATGTAATAATTCTTTTTATCAAAGTAGTGGTGGCCTTTTCTGGTACGATTTCATCCAATGGACATGAATCTTCACAGGATTTAACTAATTTCACACATTCTATTTCAGTTAATAACGATTGTGTTTTCCTGATTCAATATAAGGCAAATGGTTCAAATAAAACTGTAACTAATCATTTGTACCTTTGAATCTCTCACGTTTGAAATGGTGCAAACAATGGGAAATATGTATTGTATATTAAACTTAAATAACTTTTTATTAATTTTGCACTGTATCACACAAAAGTTTTCCAGAAGTTTTAGAGAAAATAGGAAGAAATACAAATAGATAAAACATAAGAACAATTTGAAACTAAAATACAGTTTAACGATAACCGATGTTTCTGATGTACGAGGGTGGATTGATAAGTTTCCGGCCTGACCAAGAAAAACAAGGTTTTTAAAAATTTTTTTTTTTTATTTCTCAACATAATCTCCTCCAAGGCTGATACATTTCTCATAGCGGTGTTCCAGTCTATTAATGCCATCTCTATAGACTGATTCGTCAAGCTCCTCAAAATAACCATTTACAGCTTCGATTACTTCTTCATTGTCCGCAAATCTCT